ACAGCAACTTTGACTTTCTACTATTCACTCCACCCTCTAAAATCTTCGTGTTATCTTTTGTTACACTGTTGAATATAATTTTTCGATAATGTGTGATGTGTTTATTCGAGAAAAATGTTCCTCTCAGATTGACTAAGTTCGCTCCGCGTTGTATTTCTCAGTTTTGGTTCGACATGTGACTGGAATTTGATCTCGAAACAAAAGTAAGAAAGATTTATGTCTTTTAAGGTACGCCTGTGAAGTTTATCGATAAGGTAACGTTTACTGTATATGAAGAAAACATTCACACTTGGACTTCCAGAGAAGCGTATCCGTAAATACTAGACGCTAATATCAGTTCGTTGCTAGAGTCAATCTAGCATCCTGTGGAAAACTCACAATTGTAATGATAAACATTAACCATTTGGTGCATGTCTCACTTTTGTGCATTTTTATTTGAAGATCTTGCACAGTCAATGTTTTTAACTCAGCCTACACAACGGGGAAAGGACCTTAGATTCGGTACATTATCTGAGAAGAAAGACTTTTCATAACTATTAATGAGAAAAATAGTTCACTTTTGTGACAGAAAAAACGCAGGACGATTTAACTCTCTCCCTTTCTTCGTCTCAAATTGCTGTGTACTTATCTTGAAGTTAAAGGTTCAAATTACTTTACTTTTTATCTTTTTGATAACAAATCAATAAGAAAACGCGGTTAAAACATGCAAAAAATGCGAGTAAAACTGGCTTTCAACTTCACAGTAGGTTAAAAAAGAAGAAATGGCTGTGCAGACAACGTGCATTATTCTCTTGAATGTATATGACGTCCACATGTCTGCTCTATACACAGACATATCCAGCATTTCTATATATTCACATTGAAAGAACGAAATCAAAATTTCGAATTTCATTGATCAAAGCAGATCGAGAAAACAAGATAGAGATAAGTCTGGCTGAAGAAAGTCATGTGCTTGAGAAAAAGAGCTTCACTAGGGAGTGTATTGATGTCGATATTTTAACGATTTTTTATTTCTTCGTTGGCTTTTCTTTCTATATTTTATCGGCTGAAAGCGTCAATAGAGTAGATGCAATGAAATGCATTAAGTAAGTGCATAGTAATGAAAACACTATTTCAATCCACTCTATTGACTCTTTGAGCCGATAAAATATAGAAAGAAAAGCCAAAGAAGAAATAAAAGAACCGTTAAAATATCGACATCAATACATTCTCTAAATAATCTCATTTTCTAATAAATTTTCTTATGCATTAATAACAAACGTTAAACCGGTAAGATACGGTAAAACCGGTAGAGCGGTAACCGTAACCCTTACCGTTGTATGCCTAGTCACCACGCAAAACCGCTTTGCATCTTAACTTCGTTTTACACTTTATGCAAGTAATCTGAAGTCTTACGTCGCTTTAGTATTGTTCGATCACTCGATTTTTAATTGAAATCGGTGCATGCCTACCTCGAACAGTTTTGGAATTCGGGTTGAAGGTGTGTATCGTAGATGGAAGGTTAAAGAGTGGCTTTTACTTAAATCTAAACTAGTGGAGGTAAGAATAACGGAACCTCGAAGAGTGTGTTAACGAGAGTGAACGGATAAAACACAGGGCGCTAGAGACGCATGCTTTATATCTCCATCATAGTATAGTCAAGAAACTTATAGCCCAATCGGGATATAAATTCGTTTTTTTTTTAGTAAAATTCTTTAGCGAAACAATCATGATGTTCGCGGAACGTTTTGACAATATCATCGAAAAGAGCGTAAAAAACTGTATCAGATTCTTTTTTCCCTTTGATCAAGTCTTTTTTCAGGGCAGCCACCTTTTTTTAAAATAATTCTTGACGTTTTCATCTTCTATATTCTGGTCAGGATATTTTACCTTTTTTACTGGCTATTTTTAACACTTGTTCAAAATATCTTGACATTTTCTCTAAATCTGCACATACATAAGGCAGTGACATCTAGTGAAGTAGACAGATATTACGTGTAGCTTAAAGTTCATGTTCATTCGTCTCGATTGGGTGACTGGGCAGCGTATCACAACTAGTGTTTAAACTATGGATCCACCTCTGTCTGGAAAAGAAGTTTTCTTTTTGGTGATGAATGCATTTTTAGCCGGATCGAAATATAGTATAAAAAATAGACTCCGATCGGGATACGCTTCTACACTGCAGGTCACTATGTGAATGCTATGGAGTCTTTCGGAAGGAAGGTAACCAGCGTTTTCAATAGAAATTTTAAGCAAAGTGGGTTTCCACAGTTTGCCACTGCATTTTCCATGTTTTTCCTGCTAAAAATAAAGTGGAAATCGAATTTTCAAAGTGGAAACCCATTTTGCTCAAGCGAGACCCACTAATCATTAAAAACACTGAAGCTAACTGTGAGCTCATCCCAGTATAAGTTAGAGTAAAAGGCACTTTCAGCTTAATGATCGTTGCTCTCAACAATATTCAATCTCTTACTGTCAGGAGAAAAATACAAAATTGAATGAAACGAAAGAAAGAATTTAAAAGAACTTAAAACCAAATAAACATTCGACTGTAGCAGACATAAACGCATTAAATGATAGGGACTTTTTTTATTTCGTATCGTTGGCTATTTTCTAACAGGTCTATCGTTATACTCGATATTACTAACCTTCTGTAGCGGCCTAGACCATTGAAAAATGACTACTTTTAGAAAAAAAATTAAACTTTTTCTAACTGTTTTTACTGATCTAAAAAATATTTTTAATCAGCCATTAGCGGCGATCTGATCCACTAAACTTTTTTCAAACAGTTCTAATTCTGAGGTAGACGGCTCCAGAAGTGGAGTTCATCCTTTAGTACACTGGAGGCAAATTGCCAGAAATTTTAAACTTTGAAGAAGGAACTGTCGAAAACAAGCGACGAACCTAAAAGCGTACGGGTGTAGCGTCGTAGAGAAAAATAGATAACGGGTTATAAACCCAGCGTCCGGGTAATACAACGTTCTTAGCCTTGTTTTTATACCAGTTCTGAACTAAAGTTAAATTTTTATCAACTAAACAATATTCATGAGTTCAACATCCTAAGAATTACATCGTGAAAAGATTTTTTCTCAAGATCCAGCTTTGACATCATTCACAGAGTTAGTGCCTTTTTTCTTAAGCTTATTTTATATATTTTGATGGAAATGCGTTTCTGTTTATTTCCCAGCCCTCTTAATGTCTTCCTGAAATTGTTATTGTACTGACGCATGTTAGTGTTTGGTTTTTTCACTAGCTTCCTTTACAAAAAATATACACACTGTCAACTTCCACTATGTTAACACGGCGAAATAAAAGTCGATCTCTTTTACCCGAGTATATGTTACACCATATGGAGTAGTTAATTGTGTTTTTTCTACAGTACAGAACAGAAAAGAGAAGAAAAGAGAAAATATTTCTTTTCATTTTGTTGCTGTTCTCTTCCTTATTTTATTAACCTGAACGGGAAAAAACCAACTGACAAATGTTAATTTGAATGAAATGTATATTTCCAACGTTGAAAATTATTTATATAAATGTACATGATTTTTCCTAGAAATTCCATCTAACATCGAAATGGTAAGAATTAACTAGTTGTATATTTTTACTGTAATGAATTTTTTTTATCGTTATTTGTTCTCAAAGTTTTACGTACTGTCACTCAAAATCTGTATGTGCTTAATATAATAATGATTATATAAGAAATACTATACTTACACTAAATAATTGAATAATACAAATATGAGCATTCGTAAATATGTAGATATGCTATCTCAAAAAAAGAAATGATCTTACGACCTAAGAATTACAGTGATTTCAGGCAGGATAAAAGCACAGATTGTCTCTGCATAATCCTTAAAGAATTTGCTAATAGGAGACGATTGAAATGGTCAGATTATGTGAATACTTAAACTCTCGAATTTTAAATGTCATGACAATTTACGGTATAGTGTATTTATACATTTTAAATCGAGATTGAGTAAGAACTTGTTAAAACTGTGTACTGATCATATTTTTCTTGTTATAGGTAATAATAAATTAGATTTTACTATTTTACGCACGCATCAGAATAGTAAACCTGAAATAAACTATGACTGAATTTCAATCAACTTTTAATTCAAACTCACTATTCAATTCAACCGTAAAACACATCATAGAATCAAATTACGAAACTTTAACATTGTCATCACCATCACCATCACCATCAATAACAAAAGTAGAATGTGAAAAAACAAAGAAATCGTCGGAAAACCAATGTGAGTGTTTTTATAACAACAAGATTTCAGTGTCATACAAGCATCTGATCTTTTATATACTTCAAAAAATTCTTACAAGTCTGTTTATTTCTTTTCTTAGATCAATCAAAATCATCGAGTAAAGATCAGCCATAAAAATTATAAAAAACAGAAACAATGACTTGTGTACACGATGCGACAATAAAACAGTACACTACTGAACAAAATCAAGAGAAAAAAGAGAAACAACGTGTTACTCGATACTTAGTAGAAGTTGAAACTATTCGTAACATTCGTAAACGAACATTTTCTCATTGGCCACATAAAATTCCGTCAAAATCACAAATAATTGAAGCAGGATTTTTTTATTGTAACGTTGGTGACAGAGTTATTTGTATCTATTGCAATATTATCTGTCAACAATGGACATCTCACAGTGATGATCCAATAGAAATTCATAAAATTTTATCTCCTAATTGTCCCTATGTCAGATCAATGTTAAAAAGAAGTATCTCAGCGAACAATATTCGTATTCTAAATGAAATTGATCAAAAATCCTCGCAAACTACAGCCATTATTAACAGTAGTAATACTACTCCGATGAAAACAAACAATAATAATATGATTAATTCGAAGGAAATTGTTTTAACAGCAGCTAGTAATCAACAATTTACAGAATTACCTAAACGTACAGCATCGTTCATTACTTGGCCAACTGAATCCTTACCATCTGTCGATGATTTAGTCAAATCAGGCTTCTTCTATACGGGAAACAAAACAATTGTGACATGTTTTTATTGCAACGGTTCTCTACAGAATTGGGGACCAAATGATAATCCAATGATTGAACATAGTCGATGGTTTCCTCATTGTGCTTATGCTAGACAACTTTGTGGAGATGATCTGTATAGAAAGATTCAAGAAACAAAACGAATAGCGCAAGGTAACACAATTGTGTCTTTCGTCTTCCATACGTTAACGTCTTCTTTTTTCTTATTCATTTTAGAACGACTGCGAGCCAATGAACAACGATCAGAACGGTTTTCTGTATCAAACACTCATGAAAATTCAAACAACACCGACAATAGTTCACCAATGAATAGTGAAATTGTTCTAAATAATAAAGAATTACAGCTACCAGATGAAAATACATTATCAAGATTAGTCGCTGCTCGGTTAGACTTACCCATTTCACAAAATTTATTAAAAAAATTTAAATTGTCAATTATAAAACGTTGCTATGAAGATCAATTACGTCTAAAACGTAAGTTATTAAGAAATAAATGTTAATTTAATTCTTTTAATTATTGTTGATATAATTTAGATAATGATTTTGTTAGTGATTGTGATTTGTTAATGGCATGCAATATACTTCAGAAACAGATTGAACACATTGATGGTAAGAAAGAAAATATCATCATACCAAGCGTACATATGAAAACATTACGAGAACAAGCAGAAAAAGAACGAATAGGTAAGATTTAAGATCAATAATCAAACGTGCCCTTTCTAAATGTTCATCTTTTTTTAATTTTCTAGAAAAAGAAACAGTTGAACAAAATTTACATCTCTCAAATTCACCACGAATCGAATTTTCATCAATAAGCTCATCCTCAAATTCGTCTTGTAATGAAGATACTAATATGACATCAGTGATCGATGAAATGTGTACATCAACTTCTTCGATATCGTCAATGGAATCAAATGCTTCTGTAAAATCTGACAAAAAATCAAAACCGAAACAAAATCCTCAAATGAAAGTATCAAATCCTTGTGTACTTTGTTTGACTGATGAAAGACGATTAGCTTCTATACCTTGTGGACATTTAGTAACATGCGTACCCTGCGGTCATTCTCTTCGAACATGTCCCATTTGTAGAAGAAGTATTGAAGCTTTTGTCCGCGTATATATTTAAACATAGTATGATGATCTTAAGTACATCTCTATGTTTATTTAATCATAAGTCGTTGAAGTTTTAATCAATTTAGTCACGACTATATAGTAGTAGGATGTTAGTTTGTGTTTGAATGCTGCAAAATGGCCGTAAAAGTCAAATAGAATGAAGATGAAGCATTCGTCTTTATTCACTCTTCAGATTGTGAGAAAATGACTTTTCAGTCGTCAGGGAAATCAAAATAGTAACTTATTCTTTCCAACGTTTTATAGATATTATATTGCTTCTGATTCTGTTAAAATAGTTTTTAATAAATCAAATATTTATTTAAATCTTCTTTTATTTTTTATTTTATTTCAAAGAAGAGAGAACTGTTCTAATGACTATTTATAAGCAGTAAGAAGAGTTGCTAAATAATGTAATGATGATCAGCTATCTACTATATTGAGTTTACAGTTAAACAAGTTTATGCTTCTGTAATATGAATTTATCATGTAAATTTATTTCTGCTTTATTATATTTATCACCGCATTATTTTCACAGTGAGAAAAAAAATTGTTTACGTAAATCTCATTTCTGTGTTTATTCAAGTAATTGCGAATTTTACTAATCATTGCCGAATCTTTGATAATTATTTGCAATATGTGTATACGTCTCGTCGAGAAAAATTGCTAGTATTATTTGACTGTAGTTCTTCGTAGTCAGATGACCTTTGGTCTCTATATTTTTAATCAACCGTTGGATAGACAATCATCACCGTTAACAGCGGACTCTATTCACTACGGAGGATGCGGTGAGGCATTATTAATTAACCTCATAAATGCCGTAAGGCATCTATAGATGACATGAAGTCAATTTTATATGTTGTATATGCTTTTTCGTTCTATCGAATTAACGGAAAAAAAACTGCTAGAGGAACATACGTCATGAAAACAACAGAACGCAAAGAGAGATATTTAATCGGCGTTTTACATATGCATGCCTTTGGACGCTTAAGAGGGAAAATAACGGCATTCAAAAGGTTAACCCTAGATTTATTTCTTCTTATTTCTGTAGCTTTGAGCCGACAATGAATATCAGGACTTTTCTTCTAAATTCTATAACCTTGCAACGAAACATTGTGTAGAGCTGAGAGATGTCTCATTTTAATTAGAAATTTGCGCGCTACAATTATGCCTCATTAACCCGTTCATTCCCGATGTCTGTTTAAACAGACATGAATAAATTTATTTGTAAGTCGTGAACGACGCAAGATATTAACGTGTGATTTTCAACATTCTATAGCCAATACTTTAAGCTATGTTTTCATAAGCAAAAACGGTTTTCGAAAAAATTTCAGAGATCGGATTTTCAACGGAAAACTACTTCGTATCTCTCAAAACTAAAACAGTAACCTATCGATTTGTTTTCATACGTAGATAGTCCAAAGTGTCTTGTTTAAAATGGGAATTAAGCGAACTGTTAGTTTTCTACGGTTTAGACGTGGCATCGGATGTGCTTGAAGCCTCAGGATCATTATTTCTTTAGATGTGGTAATCTCTAAAACGGATGGAAGCATAGATAATCGACTAGAGTGAATCTTCTGGCAACATTTGTTTTTCAAAACAGTTCCAGAAACCTAGTGAAACCTTATATTAGATGAACTACCTCATTTTTGCGTATTTTTGAATAAAATCAAAAATTCATAAACCAGTCAAGGTTCATACAAATTATGTCAGAATATCCAGATGTACTCTATTTTACGTGCTCAATTTGAAAAG